GTGTCTTGATCCGTCATTTAACTCCTCCCCTATTTTCTTATTCTTCAATAACTGCCGTGTTTTGATCCATAAATATGACCCTTCGATTAGTTCCGTTGTCTTTGTCAGCACTTCACCGTTGTCTTGGTTGTCAGGAGCCTCCGGTTGTCTTAAGACGTTGTAAACTTCCGTGAGAGTTAATACAAGATTTTATTTTCATCTATGTTTTGCTTAATCTGTTGTTCTCTGTATCCGTTTCAGGGTTGTTCTTGAGGCATTACTTCGTTGTCCAGCCCGGCATTATGTCGTCGTCTGTCGTATACTTTCATATCTCTCTCTGTCTCTCTCTCTCTCTCTCTCTCTCTCTCTCTCTCTCTCTCTCTCTCTCTCTCTCTCTCTCTCTCTCTCTCTCTCTCTCTCTCTCTCTCTCTCTCTCTCTCTCTCTCCTTCTCTTTTTTCCTTCTCTCTATTTGAGAGAGAAGGAAATGTCTGTCTTTTTTTTCTACATATTTTAAAACAAAAGGTTTTTATCTCTCTTATTTAATCTCTCATATTTTTAAAACAAAAAGGTTTTAAAAGTCTCTCTCTCTCTTTCTCTCTCTCTCTCTCTCTCTCTCTCTCTCTCTCTCTCTCTCTCTCTCTCTCTCTCTCTCTCTCTCTCTCTCTCTCTCTCTCTCTCTCTCCGTGTCTCCTGTCTACTGAATACCCTTAGACGCTGACGCTCCTTTCTGGAGAAACTTGTCATTCTTTTCTGACTTGAGATTCTCCTGATTCTTGAGGTTACATACCCAAATGTTTTTGGGACGCTCCCCCCCCCCCCCCACACACACATCATAAATGCCATATTATGGAATTCAAATAAAGAAAAAGATCTAGGGGTGGTTCTGGATATAAAACTGTCACCTAAGGACCACATAAAGAACGTTGTGCGAGGAGCCTATGCTACACTTTCTAACTTCAGAATTGCTTTTAAATACATGGATGGCGATATACTAAAGAAATTGTTCACGACTTTTGTTAGACCAAAGCTAGAATATGCAGCGGTTGTGTGGTGCCCATATCTTAAGAAGCATATTAACAAACTGGAAAAGGTGCAAAGACATGCCACTAAGTGGCTCCCAGAACTGAAGGACAAGAGCTACGAGGAGAGGTTAGAGGCATTAAATATGCCAAACTAGAAGATAGAAGAAAAAGAGGCGATATGATCACTACATACAAAATAGTAACGGGAATCGATAAAATTGATAGGGAAGAATTATTCATACCTGGATCTTCAAGAACAAGAAGTCATTGATTTAAACTAACTAAACAAAGCTCCTGAAAAAAAAATATAAGAAAATTCACTTTCGCAAACAGAGTGGTAGACGGTTGAAACAAGTTAGGTGGGAAGGTGGTGGAGGCCAAAACCGTCAGTAATTTTAAAGTGTTATATGACAAAGAGAGCTGGGAAGACGGGACACCATGAGCGTACCTTGAAGTGCTTCCGGGGCTTAGCATCCCCGCGGCCCGGTCGTCGACCAGGCCTCCTCTCGTAGCTCTCATCCTGTAAATAGACTTAAGAAATTACACTCTCACATCATTCAGAACCTTGCATGCCACATATGTCAGACCATTTCTGAAGTACGCAGCTCCAGCCTAGGGGTCCATACCTAGTCAAACAAGACAAAGTTATAAAAAATAGAGGTATGCCACAAGACTAGTCCCGAGGCTGATTGGTATGAGTTACGTGGAAAGGCTACTGGAATTACACCTAACAAGCAATGGACGATAGAAGAGTTAGAGGAGATATGTTTACCACCAACCAATTTTTTAGAGGAATTGATTGGGCAGAGAAAGACAAATTACTTAGCATGGGTTAAACAAGGGTAAGGGGACACAGGTGGAAACTATACTCAATTGAACCACAGAGACATTAAAATGAATTTCTTCAATGTCAGAGTAGCTAACAAATAAAATACATTAGGAAGTAATGGGTAGATGCAGATTCCGTATAGTTTCAAATATAGGTATGATAAGAGTCCAATAGGCTCAGAAGCATGTATACTTAGGTAATTATCAGTTGATTGAAGGTTGACAGGCGGGACCAGAGAGCCGAGGCTCAACCCCCCTTCTAGCACCACTAGGCGAGAACTAGGTGAATACACGTACGTTGACTGCATTTATGTGGACTTAAAAAAAAAGGCTTTTGACAAAGACTCACATTAGTGGGTGTTATGCAAACAGGAGCATGTGGAGGGTGACAGGAAGACTTGGAACATGTATGTAAAAAATTGATAAAAAAATGAGGGCGTTATCCAGAGACTATTTCAGATTGTAGTAATGTTACTAGTGGAATACCACAGGGTTCAGTTCTAGTTCCGGTAATGTTCTTTTTCTGTATGAATGATCTAATGAAGGAATACCGATTTATATGAACATGTCTGCTCACGTTGCCAAGTTACTTGGGGAAGATAAGAAACTTAGACGATTGTCATGACCTTTAAGATGACCTGGGCTAAATAAATGTACGGAGCAACACTTGCCTGATGGAATTTAAGGTGAATAAATGCCACGTTATGGAATGTCGAATAGGAGAAAATAGGCTACACACTACCAGCAAAGTATGTGAAAAGTCTTTACAGAACTCTGATAAAGAAAGAGGTCTAGGGATGATTCTGAATTAAACTGTCACCTGAGGACCGCATAAAGAACATTTTGGGAGGCTATGCTACGCTTTCTAACTGCAGATTCGCTTTTAAATACGTGGATGGCGAAATATTAAAGAAATTGTTCACGACCTTCGTGAGACCTTCATGAGACCGCGAGACCTGCACAAAGAAATAACACCATATGAGACCAGAAGGCATGGCAGGATGTGCAGAATAACCCTGTTGAAGAGCAGAGGTGCAATAGGTACTCTGAGAGAGAACTCTTATCAACATCAGAGGCCCGAGACTGTTCAACACGCTTCCACTACACATAAGGGGCATAACTGGCCGACCCCTCACAGTGTTCAAGAGAGAACTTGATAACCACCTCCAAAGGATACCTGATCAACCAGGCTGTGACTCATACGTCAGGCTGCGAGCAGCCGTGTCCAACAGCCTGGTTGACTAGTCTAGCAACCAGAAGGGCTGGTCGAGGACCGGGCCGCGGGGACGCTAAGCCCCGAAACCATCTCAAGGTAACCTCAAGGTAAGGTGACCAAAATTGGATTCTTCAGCGGTTGTTTTGTGCCCATATCTCTAGAACTGGAAAAAGTATAAGCTGAAAAAGGTGCAAAGACATGCTATTAAATGGCTTCCGAACTGAAAAACAAAAGCTATGAGGAGAGGCTAGAGGTGTAAAATATACTAAAAGTAGAAGACAGAAGAAGGAAAAAAAGGCGACATTATCACTATGTACAAAATAGTAAAAGGTATCTACAAAACTGATAAAGAAGAATTCTTGAAACCTACATCTTTATGAACAAAAAGATCATAGACTGAAGCTAAGGAAACAAAGGCGCCGTTTTTTTTTTTGGTGTGGGGCCGGGGGGGGGGGAAGGGTTGGACAGTGGTAGAGGGTTGGAACAAGTTAAGTGCGAAGGTGGTGGAGGCCAAAACTGTAAGTAGTTTCAAAGCGTCCTATGACAACGAGTGCTGGAAAAAACAGGACACCACGAGCCCAGCTCTTGCCCTGTAACTACACTTGGGTAATTACAGTAGTACATCACACCGACTCTTAGAAAGGCGGCGTCCAAGAGAGTTAACAGTTCGATCCTGCTGGCACAAATAGTAAATACACACACTGAAGCCATGATCTCCACACATATAATACTTATTGTAGTTGACAGGGTATTGAGTAGTAAAAACTAAGTACCCGAATGAGCCATTGGAATATTATAGTTTTTTCACTGTCCTGGTTGTAAACAAATGGAATGAGCCAAGACGTGTAGGGTTTGAGTAAACTCCAAACAGCTTCAGAACACAGAGGGCTCGTAAACCTGTGTACTTGTTGATTGAAAGGTTGAAAGGAAGGACCCAATAGCTGAAGATCACCTCGACAGCACAGCTAGGTGAATACAGGCACACATCTTTTCAGTCACCCACAGGCAGACGAGAAAAGGCCAACAGTAACATTCCTATTCATTGAGAGGGGGAAGGGGGAGAGAGTAGTTCTTCACTGAGGGGAGACGGGAAGCTTAACACCAAGCACCTTACTTATTCTTTAACACAAAAACTATAGTTTTAGAATGTTAGTATCTAAATTGAGCAAAGTAGCTCTGTGACAGAACTTTGCATATAATTAACCCCGATTCTTTTGAAGCATACTAATAGCCAGTGTAAAATAGCTTATATATATATATATATATATATATATATATATATATATATATATATATATATATATATATATATATATATATATATATATACATATATATATATATATATATATATATATATATATATATATATATATATATATATATATATATATATATATATATATATATATATATATATATATATATATAATATATATATATATATATATATATATATATATATATATATATATATATATATATATATATATATATATATATATATATAAAATATAATAGACCCTCGTCCCATCTCTAACCCAGTACGCCAGGAGAGTATAAAGTTGTTCATGACGCGCCCGCCACACTGCTGCCCAACTGAATTTATTTCATCTATATTTTTTCCCCCGTGGAGGGGTAAAAAAAGTGAAGTAACTGGGGCCATTTGTCGGGTGGTGTGCTGCGGGTCCGGTCAGTGAGTGTCGTTACCATAATACCTGGCCCACTATTTTTACCCCGCAATTATTCACACATTATCCTTGTTGAGCGTTTAATGTGGCACTAGTGTGGCAAAGCTATATATTTCTCGTGGATAATCCGTTTACGCTCCAATGCTCCAATATTTAGTTGTTGTTTTTTTTTTTGCTCTTTTTTTTGGCGCAGTTCCGCCGGGAAAAAAAGTGTATTTGTAGCGATTTAATATTAGCATTTTGCCCTAATTGTTTATTTACAGTTTGTGTCGACTGTGTGATTATGGTAATTTCATGCATATGCTTAAAAATCCAGACTTTGGGGAAATTCAGACATTTGGATTTGTGTTGAGTGGAATATTTTGCATGCGGCACTTGAGAGAATTGTGGCCAGTGATGGTGCGTTGGTTAGGCTGGGAAGACTATTTTGTTGGACGTGTTCCCAAGGAGCAGGCGCCCGGCTCTTGATCTTAGTGTTTTGTTTGTTATGCTTTGTTCATTGTTGTTCATACACCTCGTACCCATCCCATGGACGGTAGTGGAAAAGGTTACCGAGGCCCACAACGGGCTCTGGAACTGAACCCTAAAGTTCATGTAGCGAAGCAAGCTACTCAGTTTAAAATATATGTTAATAGTCTTTTAATACCGAAAGTGGTTCAAGAAGTGGCCCACAACAGTCTGTATAAAGATAAATTTACTCTTGTGCCTTTTAAATTATACTTTAGAAGATTACAAATTAATGGAAATGGCCGAAAATACTATTGGTGATGTTTGAATTTAGTTTCCATTTAGCGAGTAAAATATTAATATAACTTAACTTATGAAAAGAAAATAAAGGAAACAGCAGATGGGCTGCGATGGATCGCCTATTTATATCCCCTCAAACTGATTCACTTACATAAGTGTTGTTGATGTATGGGCTAATAGGCCTTCCAAAGTATATACCCAGCGATTAACATGCTATTAGGCTTCCTAGTATTTATGGACCGGTTAATAATAATAATAATATCAGTGTTACAGATATACGCCAGTACTAAATATTATAATATTAGGTTCCCAGTTATGCATCTAGTGCTTAATAATATTATAATACAGGTTCTTAGATATACGTAGTTCTTAATAATATACTATTAGGTTCCTAGTTATACACAAAGTGCTTGATAATCTAATCTTAGGTTCTAAGATTACATTGAACAATGTACTCTTAGGAACCAAAGAGTACATTGTTGGAGGCCGCCACCCTCAACATTGTCACAGGCCGCCACCCTTAACATTGTCACAGGCCGCCACCCTCAACATTGTCACAGGCCGCCACCCTCAACATTGTCACAGGGCCGCCACCCTCAACATTGTCACAGGGCCGCCACCCTCAACATTGTCACAAGGCCGCCACCCTCAACATTGTCACAGGCCGCCACCCTCAACATTGTCACAGGGCCGCCACCCTCAACATTGTCACAGGCCGCCACCCTCAACATTGTCACAGGGCCGCCACCCTCAACATTGTCACAGGCCGCCACCCTCAACATTGTCACAGGGCCGCCACCCTCAACATTGTCACAGGTCGCCACCCTCAACATTGTCACAGGGCCGCCACCCTCAACATTGTCACAGGGCCGCCACCCTCAACATTGTCACAGGGCCGCCACCCTCAACATTGTCACAGGCCGCCACCCTCAACATTGTCACAGGGCCGCCACCCTCAACATTGTCACAGGCCGCCACCCTCAACATTGTCACAGGGCCGCCACCCTCAACATTGTCACAGGGCCGCCACCCTCAACATTGTCACAGGCCGCCACCCTCAACATTGTCACAGGGCCGCCACCCTCAACATTGTCACAGGGCCGCCACCCTCAACGTTGTCACAGGGCCGCCACTCTCAACATTGTCACATGCCGCCACCCTTAACATTTTCACAGGGCCGCCACCCTCAACATTGTCACAGGGCCGCCACCCTCAACATTGTCACAGGGCCGCCACCCTCAACGTTGTCACAGGGCCGCCACCCTCAACATTGTCACAGGCCGCCACCCTTAACATTGTCACAGGGCGCCACCCTCAACATTGTCACAAGGCCGCCACCCTCAACATTGTCACAAGGCCGCCACCCTCAACATTGTCACAGGGCCGCCACCCTCAACATTGTCACAGGCCGCCACCCTCAACATTGTCACAGGGCCGCCACCCTCAACATTGTCACAAGGCCGCCACCCTCAACATTGTCACAAGGCCGCCACCCTCAACATTGTCACAGGGCCGCCACCCTCAACATTGTCACAGGCCGCCACCCTCAACATTGTCACAGGGCCGCCACCCTCAACATTGTCACAAGGCCGCCACCCTCAACATTGTCACAGGTCGCCACCCTCAACATTGTCACAGGTCGCCACCCTCAACATTGTCACAGGGCGCCACCCTCAACATTGTCACAGGGCCGCCACTCTCAACATTGTCACAGGCCGCCACCCTCAACATTGTCACAGGGCCGCCACCCTCAACATTGTCACAGGCCGCCACCCTCAACATTGTCACAGGGCCGCCACCCTCAACATTGTCACAAGGCCGCCACCCTCAACATTGTCACAAGGCCGCCACCCTCAACATTGTCACAAGGCTGCCACAGTCAACATTTCCGGAGGCCTGCTGAAACCTGTCCTAATAGAACGTCGTATTTTGACGTATATCCTGCCTAAAGGCCAAAATTGTCGTACTAGAAAATGGTAGCGACTCGCGAAATTGACATACCGTCCCGCATTTTGTTTTGAATCTTCTTGTAGGTTAGGATAAGGGCAATTTAGTACGACAGTTTCTTGACGTTGGGAATTCTTAGGTGGACGGGCTGGGAGGCCGCTGCGCTCAGTATTATTGTTGGAGGCTACTGCTTCATCATTGGTGGATGCCGCTGTCCTCAAGCATTGTTGGAGACCTTTGTCCTCAACATTGTTGGAGACCACTGTCCTCAACACTGTTTAGAGGCCGCCGCCCTCAATATAAGACCATACATAGAATGGCTCCTTATCAACCAAATCTATACATTCAACACTACATTTTATGAAGGGGAACATTTTATATCGTTAATGAGCTCGTTCTGCAGTGCGCGTTAATCGTACTTTTAATTCTGTATTTTCGGTACTTTCCGTACACTCTGTTTAGGGGCAAAACGCAATAATTTACCCATAGTAAAGTAAACGTTACTTTACGTATGGGGGTAAAATTTTACTCATACGTAAAGTAACGAAGTAACGAGTAGCAGTTGCTCCAAGAAACTTTCAAATTGGTACTTATAATGCTCCAACTATTTTGCTGAAGAAATTGCCATTTATATTAATTTGTCTAGTGTGTTTTCTTCTTAATATATATATTCTCTTCCTATAGTGGCTGATGCACTCCATCTTGACTCTCTGTGTAGGTAAATGCTACTCGCTTTATGCCTAAATTGTCAGTTTAATTTCGAGTGTTGTTCACCTGCTTAGTCCACATAGAGTAGTGACGTCAGTGTAATAGGGCTATCTCGAGGTTATCTTGAGATGATTTCGGGGCTTTAGTGTCCCCGCGGCCCGGTCCTCGACCAGGCCTCCACCCCCCAGGAAGCAGCCCGTGACAGCTGACTAACACCCAGATACCTATTTTACTGCTAGGTAACAGGGGCATTGGGTGAAAGAAATTCTGCCCATTGTTTCTCGCCGGCGCCCGGGATTGAACCCGGGACCACAGGATCAAGTGTAGAGTCGGTTTAGTGGCGTAAGCCCAACCACTATCAACCACTTAGTCCAACTAAGCTGGACGGTAGAGCAACGGTCTTGATTCATGCAGGTCGGCGTTCAATCCCCGACCGTCCAAATGGTTGGGCACCAATCCTTCCCCCGTTCCTTCCCAAATCCTTATCCTTGTCACTTCCAAGTGCTCTATAGTCGTGATGGTTTGGCGTTTTCTCCTTCTAATTCCCTTCCTTTAGTGCCGTAAGTGTAATGGCGCCAGAATGTCATCGATTTAGTGGCGTCAGTGTTGTGACATCACTCCAGTTACTTCAGTGTAACAGTGTATTGACGTCAGTGTAATTGTTCCCGAGTGCTGTTGCTCATGCAGTGATACGGCGTACAGTATTTAAATGTGAAAGTGCCATTATTGCAATACGCAATTATATACTAATATCAGTTTAGTGATGTCAGTGCATAGTCGTTCGTCGTTCGTGTATAGTCCCGTTGTAGTGATGTCAGTCGTTACAGTGTAGTAATTTCAGTGCATAAACGTTCTTTCAGTAGTCCCAGTGTAGTGATGTCGTTGTATAAACTTTCTTTCAGTAGTTACAATGTAATGATGTCACCGGATTAACGTTCTTTCGGTAGTCTCATTGTAGTGATGAAAGTGTATAGTTGTTCATTTATTAGTCACATTGAAGCCCGTGCATAAACGTTCTTTCAGTAGTCACAATATAGTGGCGTCAGTGTATAAACGTTCTTTCAATAGTTACAATGTGGTGATGTCAGTAAATAAACCTTCTTACAGGAGTTATTGTATAGTGATGTGTATGCATAAACAAAGTGACAGTAAAATATCTTCATTGGTGTAAGAACAGTATTAAATACAAAGGCGAGTACGCGAAGATCCTCTGGGATCCTCTCGGACGTGGGTTGAATCCTCTTCACGGCCCTTGTGGATTTGTAATATGAGAGTTAGCCGGGCTGCATAGATCTACTTCCCCAAGACACAACTGGCTGAAAGTTTATATTAAGTTACATGATAGTACACTAATGTTCGAGGTATTAAGGCTTTATGTGTAGTATCTAAAGAAATTAAAAAAGGAGGGAGGGAATTATCAAGGGAAAGCGCCAAGCCCTTACGACTATATAGCACTGGGAAGGGGTCAGGATAAGGATTTGGGATGGGACGGGGAGGAAGGAATGGCGCCTAACTACTTGGACATAAGGAATAATTGTACTGAATTATAGCTTAAAATCCTTAAAACATTAAAAGTACCCTAAACTAATAAATAAATAAAATAATACTAAAGCTATAATAATACCTTAAACTAATACAAGACTCTATTTGTCAGTTAGCTAACAAAAATTTGCGATCAGGCTAAAGAGTAATTATTGTAAAGTAAGTGTAGAGTAGGACGGTTCAAGTTACGTTTTCTACACAGCAGTATTGTAACAAATCTTCTAATTGGCATAGGTATATTTCCGTTGTGCCACACCAGTCGATTGAAGGTTGTAAGACGGGACCTAAGAGCTGAAGCTCAGCTAAATGAATACAACATATACAAACAACTCATATCCTCAAATGAACGGCTACCATGACAACCAAGAAACGTGAAAAAGCAACTGGAATTATCTTCATTCTATAATAAATTATCAAAATAATATTAAAAGCGACTGTTATTAATAATAATCTAGTAATAATCATAGTAATACAAAATACTAACAAATAAAATAATTTCCATGGTAACATTTTTGTCTAGGATTTTTTCAGGACTTTCCATGACCATATGAATCCTATCATGTATTCCCATGGTAATTGAATAGCATGTATCATGATATTCCCTACTATGCAAATATCAAGATGTCATTTTGAGGATAAGGTGCTAAGCCAGCATAATCATACTGGCTTAACGCTTTATCCTTATCATTTTCTTATCTTATCCTTTCATATATTCATTAGTGCAGTTTATCCGGGGATATGGTAACTAATTAATGGGATATGAGTCTCGATCACTGAACAGTTTACACAAAGAGGTGTTAGATTAGAATTATGAGGGTTATCAGTGCGAATTAATAACATCCTTATGATATGTTCTGGTCTTAGCTATCCTCATGCAAAGTAAATTCCAGCTATTGACATCTTTTGAATTCATTCAGGTACCTAATAGAACTGGTGGTGATGATTTCGACTGTGTGGGGATTGGGATATGGAGACTGTGGATAACCTGAATGGGGGTCTCTAATCGTGAAAAGGTTAAGAACTTATGCAGTAGGAGCTATTTTATTTGTACATGATTATACATAGCAGGATTACCATGGTCATCAAAATCCTGGACAAAAGAGGTTGTCATGGAAAATTACCAAAAAAATTTAAGTTACTATAAATATATGAAAATATTAAAAAAATATGTTACAAAATTATTAATTTATAGGTTTTTAAAACCGGTGGATTTAGGCATAGTCAAGACTGCTATGGTAATGGCAGTCTTGATTTATCTAAATTGTTGATTTATCTAAATTTCGAAGTTTGGTTCATGTTTTCAGATACTCGGTTTTCTTGCCAATCGTTTTTATGAGTATCCTATTTATTGCATTTTTATATTTCCAATTTTCGGACCTTTTCGTTATAATCAATTGTAAATTTAATGATGAATACCAGCATTGTCATGGAAAAATAATTTGCATGGGAATCTTTATATTCATATATTTATAAATCTCTATTGCAGTTTTTAAAAAGAATATTATATATATATATATATATATATATATATATATATATATATATATATATATATATATATATATATATATATATATATATATATATATATATAATATGCAATTGACGATCACGAAACACTGATCATTTATTTGTATGCGGAAAATACCGATAATATTTTGATACACAAAGTTGAGCAGGTAAATTATAAGGTACATGTAGAATTATAAGGTAAATTATAAGATTACATGTAAATAATATTTACATGTAATTAGCTTGTCATATATCAATATTATCATACTGATTGATATTGTATCAAGCTCATGATGATCTTGATATAATATCACAAGCATCTATATCTGTTCACAGTCAAAACAAAACAAAGCATAGATACAATAGATGATTCTGATGTTTTCTAAGATACTGTTTTGAATAATATACTTTCCGGAAATGAAATCAAATTCAGTTGACAACGTCTGCTTAGGCCTATTTTTTTTAATAATTTGAGTTCATTTAGTTAGTATTATTAATTACTATTATTATTGTATGTAGTTATTTAATTTTTGTGCGCTTGACGTTAGTGCAGAAATAAGGGCTAAAAATAGACTCGGCGTATAATATATGTAAGCTACAGAGATGCCAGGAATTTCGTCAAGAGGTACACAACTAGGCTAACATGAATGACTACGATAAATGGCGATTGTGTGTTATATGTCATAAAATTTATTTCATTATTAATGCAATTTTTCATAAATGAATGTAAAGTTTCACCGGTTAATGCGATATTATCTGAATACTGTATTTACAGCGGTTATTTATGACTTAAATAGATTAAGTATGCATTATTATGCATCTTGGCAAAACAGGCGTTAACCCTGGGATAATTTGAAGACGCAGGAGCCTAGTGGGCTCAGGCCTGGCTAAAGTTGGGAATCGTTGACCTCTGTAGATTCATTTATTTTTCTTTGTTAAATTATGTACAATACAATGTTATTTATACGTTATTTCACACAAAAATAAACTGCATTGTACATTAACATTGTCCATTGTGTTAATATATGTATGTATATGGTTCACATCGTTACAATAAGTACTCTCTAAACAGGCGGATAGGCTGCATAATATATATATATATATATATATATATATATATATATATATATATATATATATATATATATATATATATATATATATAAAAGTTGTATATAAATTGGCCTGAGGTTC